AGTCACACAGCTCATCAGAGGAAACAAACGGAAACAGTCAAAATTGTGTTGTTTTGTATTTGTTTCAGTAAGAGTTTACGGCACTCGTAACACAAATAGGTAATATTATTATAAGTACCAAAACTATGAAGCGTTACTAGAGAACAACGTATATAGAAAAGAAGGCGGTGAAGATGGTAAAGTTTTAACGCCCCTATCAACACTAGTAGGTTATTAAAGAGACGGAAAGAAGGAGGAGAGATAAGGACGGTAAGTGTGTGTTGGATAGGAAAGAAGGAGCAAATCACACTAGAGCACCTGCTAACGACCCATGTACTACTTTATGCTACCATCGGCATAATTCAGATCAAGTAGGAGACTGGCAGCTTTGATCCCACTTCTCAGGACCAACCCTGGCGCACTGGGATACACCATCCAGGGGGCAGACGGAGATACTCGATTTTTTTTAAAAAGGAAAGAAAGAAGAACGAAAGAGAGAACGAAAGAAAGAAAGAAAGAGAGAACGAAAGAAAGAAAGAAAGAAAGAAAGAGAGAACGAAAGAAAGAAAGAAAAAAAAAAGAAAAAAGAAAGAAACGAACACCACCACTACGCCTACAATACAAAAATAACCACCCTCCACTCGGGAATCAAACTCCATCCCCTGAGTGAAGCATCTAAACCAAATAAGATTATAGAAGCTGGTATGTGAAACCTACTGCCTCCCTACAGTAACAGAACACACAAGGAAAGACACGAGGTTATTTTTATTGCATGGGAGCAAGAGAACCACACATAGCTAGGACAACGGCCCCTTAGAGCCAGGTAAAAATGCCAGCGCAGACAAACAGAAAAACAAAGTGATAGTGAAAAAGTACAACCTACAATGGCTGACTCCTGCCATCCACAGTGACCCCCCCCCCCATCCACGCCCACGGCACCAACCAGAGTTTTTGGCAGCTTGGTGGAACTGGGTATGTCAGAACAACGCTCCTGACGCTACCATGAATTCCTCAAGTGGACTTCAAGTGATAGAAAGATAGATAGATAGACAGACAGACAGACAGACAGACAGACAGACAGACAGACAGACAGACAGACAGATTGATAGATAGATAGATAGATAGATAGAGACAGAGAGATAAGAGACACAGATAGAGAGACAGAGGTGGACAGAGAAGGGGATACAAAAAGAGGGGGGATACAAAGAGGAAAAGAACGACAGAACATACGGAAAGATAAAGAGAAAGGAACAGCAATACCAAGAGAGAAGAAGAGTGGGTGATTAGAAACAAAGGCGCCATACCTTTAGTCAACCAACTAAAAGAACACCAAACACACACCACGAAAATATAACACAAAATTCATCTTTACTGCTATTTGAGGACCCATAACAAAATAATCAGTTAACTGTTGCAGGGACGGACTGATTTGACCTTGAACTCAAAGCACGATTTGGAGCCTGGTCAACTCAGTGAAAGTAAAGTTGCCTCCCTCC